TGGAACTTCTGATGGAATTCTTCTTCATGTAGGTTCTCTTCTTTTTGGTATCATGCTTTGCTTTCTCTTACTGATTGAACTAATTGAACACAGCTATGTGCGGGTCTGAAGCACATGCACGATTTTGATCCCCCATATGCACACAACGACATCAAGCCTGGTAATGTTCTCATAACTCATAGAAATGGTCAGCCACCTCTTGCTATATTGATGGATTTTGGAAGTGCTCGACCAGCAAGGAGGCAAATTAGCAGTCGTTCAGAGGCACTGCAGTTACAGGTTTCCTATAAAGCTGTTTTTCCTTCAAGTCCCCTATAATTCCACCGTATCAATTTGCGCTGCTGCCACATAAAACTTTGCAAATATATGGGAATGTTGATTCTCTGCACTTCAATCTAAAGTTAGAAAAAGCATGCATGAGCTGATAATCACCATAATTTGCTGTGTAGGAATGGGCATCTGAACATTGCTGTGCTCCTTTCCGGGCTCCTGAGTTGTGGGATTGCGAAAGCCATGCATATATAGACGAGAGAACTGATATTTGGTCGTTAGGATGCACTCTATATTCAATAATGTGAGCACCAATTCTTTACCCTGAAACAGTAATCATTTTTCTGATCTTTGGAATTCTATGCACGTGCAACAACTCGTGGAAAATCGTGATCATTTTGCTAATCTTTGGAATTCCTCCTTTTTTTTCTACATGTGATCTACTCTAAAATAAATTTGGAGATGGTAGTTGGGTCAACCGAGAAGGCTGTAAATCATGGATACAAGTTCCTTTGTTCAAGTCATGTTTTAGAGTGATTTATAATTTCTCTGCCATGATCCTCTATCAAACTCTCTCCCAAATTTTTTGCTTTCAATATCTATGATTTTCGTAATAACTTAACCATGCTTGATACTTTTATACTTAGATTTCGACTTCTGTGAACATATTTTGTCATCACTCATGACTGAACGTCTGTATATCCATAGGTACGGGGCATCTCCATTTGAATATGTGCTTGGCGAATCTGGAGGAAGCTTACAGTTAGCAATCGTAAATGTACAGATCAAGTGGCCAGCTGGACCAAATCCTCCATATCCAGATGCTCTTCGCCAGTTTGTGAAGTGGATGCTTCAGCCACAGGCTGCTGTCCGTCCGAACATTAATGATATTATAATTCATGTTGACAAGCTTATCTCAAAGTTCTCTTATTGAGGCATAATGGAAACGAGGCAAACATCGGATCACTATTCTCATATGAAGTTATATTACGTTGAGCTACCTGCCTTTTCATGGCTTACACCTGGAATTACTTGCTGTGGAAATAAAGCAGGACCTGTTCCTATTCCAGTGTCAATACAGTTAATCGTCATAGTTTTGGCCATTGTCCAATGTTCTTTGACTATCCATGGGAATCATATAGTTTTAATATTTTTGTAATCTATATAACTACCGATTGTTCTTTTCTTCTAGAGCATAGTTGTAGAAGATGCACCATTGTGCCACCCACATAATTTATGTTTCTAGAAGCATATATTTTTCTTCAAGAGCTTCCTGAGCCTAATAATGTTCCCTAACATTAAATTATGCTATTATATGAATGTAAATTGATTGAATGATCTTGATATATCATTCAGTTCTATAGCAGTTATTCATGCTTCAACATTAAGTTTGGCAACAGGTCGTTGATGGATTGTTGATGTACCCTATACTTGAATTTTTCTTTAATGCATTGTTGATGTACATGTATCCCTTGAGGATTTCAGGTGTGTGTTCTTGAAGGAGAAGAAATTTGATTAAAAGCTTTGTGTATCATCTGAGAAGAATTCGAAGATACCACATGAAAGGAAGGCATCAATCCCTCGGAATTTACACCGTATTGCAACAACATCAAGCGGGTAAATCATACCTTTTTGTTTTGCTTTATTTCCTGCCATAGCGAAATTCTTAGAGAAATCTATGAGAAAGAAGTGTCGTAAAAGAGTTAATTGCCCAACTGTTAGAACTAACTGAGCTCTTAGCCTCTTATAAGTGAAATCTTCTTCTAGTTTTGTTGATCTTTAAGATTAGTTCATCTCTCTTACTTGAAAATTAAATAGGATATTATACATAACAACATGGGACATGGAAATTTTCATACACAGAACCTGGAAGCAAATGGTAACTGTAGTTTACAGAGAAATGTACTACATGCTTATGGGAACCCAGAAGATAACTTGTGTCAGACGAACTAGAAGTGCTGGCGCAAAGTGGCATTTGCAAGGATCCTCCATCCCTAGAAGCAGATATCTAGGCAGCAGTAGCAACACCAGCCTGCACAACTATTTTGACAACAGAGAAAATTCAAACCATAGCATAAATAGTGTCCTCTTTTTTTCCTTTTTGTGGGAGAAAGGGAACTTACAGTCCTCTGCAAAACCCATCACCTTTAGACATGGTTTCCCTTGGAGGAGCTACATTTTGAAACTTGGTTTCCCCTTGAGGAGGTATAATTGAAGAGTATGGCTGAGACTGACCGTGTTGCATTGGATCACACATAGGTGGGGCAACTGGGTAAGGACCTGGTCCAGTATCTATAAAATTATGCTACAGACAATAAATTCAGAACAAACTTTCCTACAATAATTTATAATCTTTTCCTTTTTTTCCCCCTTCAAAGGAAAATATAGAAAAGAAAAAGTAAAACTGAAACTTTGAAAAGTTACTGATTGCTTATATGGAACTCAAAATCATCTGGCATGAATAATTCTTACTGATAGAAGAAATAAAATAAAGAAGGATGACCTTGAGTTTGGTTCTGTAAACTTTGTTTCATGGTGTTGAATGCTTTGTCTCTGTTGGAGGTTGAATGTGAATTGAGTTAGGCAAGAAATAAAACAGGGTGGAGATTCAAGTCGTTTACTTTTGCACATAAAAAAATGGTAGATTGTGGAGTAGTTGTTTTGCATTGTAAGCTTCTGCGAATTTCTACACCTAATGACAGAACGATACAATGTTAGCAGTTGTCTGTGGGGAAAGGGGAAATAGTTATAATCTTGAAAATTAGGTAACCAACATCACTTCAAGACACCACCAAAATTATACCTCCAACTGCATAACAACGAGATGAATTCTTAATACTCAACTGCCTCTAAGGGAATATGTGTGAAGTCAGATGGAGGAGCGAGGCGAACATCGACACGTCTCGAGGGAAAATCCCAATTTTCTCCTCGTTGACGTTACCGCCCATAAACTTTTATGCCTATATGATACATTTATATAACACAAACAAGTTTGTAGAGAAGTAAGTTGGTAGAGATGGGAAATGGGAGAATCTATGAGCATAAAGGACAGGTTTGAATTTAGGGCACTTTTTGTGCATGCCTTGGTTGAATAATCCAAACCCTTTTGATATGAATCCATATAAGAGTGGATTATCTGTAAGCAAACACATGGGTGGGGGTTAGTGGAGTACTTAGAATTGTGAGCTAGTTTGGTGAAAAATGACAGAATTGGAGGGACATAAGATCAAACTTTAAGATACAATTGTTGCCCATGAGCTTTTAAAAAGTAACTCATTGGTCTAAAGAGAACATTAGAATAATGAATATTCAAAGATTTGGACATCTTTGAATTGTCTTTTTCATCTTCTTCAACTGCATCCATTGAGGTCAGAAAGTTCCAACTTGCATGTGGTGCTAGCTATATAAAAAAGGCACTATATGTATATTCCTTAACAAAATACTAAAAATGGGGCTTTCAAGGTACATTATTTGTTTCCCCTCATTTTTACATACAGAAAAAGATGTGAAAAAAGCTTCTTTTTCATATCTTTTCTGTCATACTTTTAACATAGCTTCTGGTTTAACCATTACAGACATCCTATTTACTGAGAGTATTAGTTTTATTGCACATTTATCATGATATAAAAAGGTAGATTTTGGTCAAACATAGGATATAATATAGTGGAATGAAGAAAGATTACCTCAAATTGTTGAAAACCGAGCTGCAAAAAGGCAATGTCTGAGTCATCCCATGAAGCTTAAGTCAAAAAAGGATGTGATCCAAGACAAAAGAACAATAAATTACTTAAGGTCTCATTATGTTTCCTTACCTCACGTGAATATGGAGCCATGTTTTAGCATTAAAAAAGAAAGAACTTGCCAAAGGTGATACGAAAAGAGAGAAAGAGAGAGAGAGAGAAACAAATGTGTAGCTTTGAGGACATTGTCTTGATTAGAGAACCATATCTTGAATCCTCTCACGTGGAAGCTAAAGAGTGGATTGAAACAGTGTAAGGTTCAAAAAAAGACAAAGAGCAAGAATAATAGATGGGCCAAACATTGTCTAGTGAGTGTACAGAAGAAGCCATGGTGAAAGAGGAAGAGAGTGGGAAACAACTAAGACATGTTTACATGTGTCGGGGGCAAGGGGTGGCCAAACCATCTGGATTTTTTAACGCTTAACTTCGTTTTGTTCCTGCTCTTACTATCAATGAGGTCCCCATTAATGGGACTACTCAATTATCTCTGCCAAATTATGTACAACTACATGCAACAAAAAACCAGCTATGTTTTTTGTTTAAACTCTAAACTTCAAATGGACCATTCTACCTATCATTGTTGCCCAACCCCTTGAATGCAACACTTGAGTCGGTTTAATCTTGACCGGCAATCAAATTCTCTGATATAACGTAAGAAAATGATACCCTTTTGTTCATTTTTGATGATTGATTACATTCTTTTCACATGGAAGAGAGAGAAAGAAAGAGAGAAGAGGAAATCATTTACATTTTTTTAGTATGAAAAAGAAAAATGGTCATTTCAAGAGTGAAGGCTGAAGTAAATTCTGGGAGTTATCTGTCTGATCAGAGTTATTTCACTTATCATTACTGTTCTTCAGTTCATTTGCTTCCTTTCTAGTTCAGTTCATTTAAGTTTAAATTCAAGGGCAGTGTTAGGTTTTGTTTTTAATATATATATATACATGATGATTTGAATTAATCCTTGAAAACAGAAATGACAATTTCCAAGGAGCTGGATTGCCAAATGGGATAAGGCACAGACATGGAACCAAATAATTGAGTTGTATTGAACAAAAGGAAAAAAAAGAACCAAACAACCAAACAACCGCGTTCGTCAACCTGAAACATGAGTCACAATCCTGTTTTCTGAGGACCTGAACCTGCAAATAGAAAGAAGACAGAAAAAAGCAGAGATTTTTTCCCCTGTTCTTTTTGTGTGCGACAAATTTTTCTCAGGTTGTCTACACTGGAAACCTAACTCCAAGTCGGATTGATTGGTTTCATTTTTGAAGGTGAGATAGGTAAGGTAAGGTTAGGAAGAGGTTCATTTGAATCCTATTTAAGAACATGAGTCTTATATTCTCTCTAGTTTTGTATCCCTAAGCCTGAGCCTGAGCCTGAGCCTGAGCCTGTCCATCTCTCTGCATTTAAAGCTACCTTTTCTAATTATGACTGAATGCAGAGAAGAGTTAAGATGATTGCCATCTTCTCTTAAGGAACCCAATGACCAAATGAACCAACCCATTGTCCTTTCAAATTCAATAAGCTTTAGCATGTATGCCTTTTGCAATGAGAAGGATTGCCCTTTCATCGACAGCTTCTAGCTGTCTTCTGTTCACTCAAAGTCAGATAATTTATTTGCCTTTGGATTTCCAGGTGGTGCGGTGAGGGTTTTTATCTATCGTCTATCCACTAAGGACTTGTTTCTTCCTTTTTTCCTTTTCTCTCAAAGAAAAAATGGGTTTTATCAGGTGTCTAAATTCTGCGAACCTACCCCAATTCTGTTATTGATTCTTCTTCTTTGCTTAAACTTCTCAAATATCTTGTTATGGAGTCTTCCCAAAATGTTGGAGTTTCAGAAGAATGTCACAGCAGTGAATCTGGTTGGACCATGTATATTGGATCTCCTGTAGATGATTCCAGTGATGGTGATGAAGATAACGATGTAGAATATGGAAAGAATAGAGTTTTTCATGCAAATCACCAAGATGATAGTGATGACTCCATGGCTTCTGATGCTTCTTCAGGCCCAAGCCATCAACCAGATCACCCTTTTGGAGGACATGGGAGCATGAAACACCAGAAGCCATTAATGGAGAAGCACAGAGCTGAGAGGAAGGAAGTGAAAGAGAAGCTGGTTTTGGTGGGGCAAAAACCAAAGAGTTCGGCCCAGAGTAGCTCAAAGGTAAGAAAGAGCATTTGGATGGGCAAAAGAAACTAGCCAACCTGCCTTTCTCCTCTTCTTCTTCTTCTTCTTCTTCTTCTTCTTCTTCTTCTTCTTGTCTTGTTCTCTGGTTTTTCCTTTATGCTTTCTTGTAGGCTGAAACTGAACTGAAAAATATGAGTTGTGTATCCTTTACTGCTGTTTTTTTTTTTTTTTTTTT